AGCTCCTGCCCTCTCCCTCTTCCCAACAGATCTGGCTGTGCCAAACCCATCCTTTCCCCCTCTGCCAGGAGAGACAGAACTTTCTGCACTATTCCTCCCCCAGGTCATCTTGATTGAGTCCCATCTCTGGTGTCTGTGTACCAGGTAAGGAGAGTTCCAGCCCTATGTCATTGTGTCACCTTGCTATGGCTTTAGGGATCTTGCCTACCCTCTTGAGCATATGTAGGTGGCCAGTAAAGACCTGAGGTCTCGACCTCAAACTCATCCATTTTGTTTTTGTTTTGTTTTGCGACAGGGTCTCTCATTGGCCTGCATCAAGTCAACAAGCAGGCAATGAGCACTAGGAAGCCTCTGGTCTCTGACTCCCCGGTGCTGTGATTGCACATGCACACCGGCATGCCTGGCGTTTTCATGGGTGCTGGGGATTGAACTCAGGTCCTTGAGCTTGCACAGTAACACTTTGCCAGCTGAGCTATCTCCTCTGTCCCCTAGTGTTGGAGTTCATGTATCTCAGGCTGGCCTTGATCCTCCTGTCTCTGCCTTTCGAGTGCTGGGATTGCAGGTGTGCCCACCACCATGGCCAGTCTCTCTGAGCTCTGTTGCCCTGCAAAGGAAGGCTGGTTTCCAGACTGCCAACTCCAAGCAGGGATTGGTGCTGGGCTGCCTCGGATGGCTTCCTGCAGAGTTAATGGGTCACTTATTGAGTCTCCATGGATCTTCCCAGGACCTTGCATGGGAGGGCAGGCTGCTTCAGGGGCCTCAAGACACCAGGAGGGGGGTGGTAGGCAGATGGCAGGTTCTAAACCAGTTCTAAGAGACTAGGGGGGCAAGGGAAGGACTTTGTGTGTCTGACTCCAACTGGAGACCCTCTGGTTCATTCCATAGAGCAACTATAGTAGCTGGGGACAGAGTTCTATTTCTCAGCAAACCAATTTTGAGCAGACCTAAGTAGTCACTTGGGCATGTACCAGCCAGGGACTGACAGAGTGATTTGGGACGCAAAAGCTATGCCTTGAGTCTGAGGGTCAGGCTGGCACTTTTACTTGCTCTGTCACCAAGAAGCTTCAGGACCCAACTATATCCCTGTTGTCAGTAAATAAGGAAAAGTTAGTTTTGGCCACTTGAAATGAAAACTGTGACTCAGGTGTCTCATTAGGGGACATCGAGGATTCAAATAGAATCCAACATAGAGGACATGAAGGATTCAAATTCTGCTCAATGAATTTGAATTCACTGGGGGGATCTGCGGGGGGACTGTGCAATGGGTTCAGATTAGAGGGGAGAAAGCTGACGTGGAAAGCAATGGGACCGTGGGGACAGGTGTTCTGCAGAGTCAGAAAGACAACTGTGAACTTCTCAATGTGCCTCCCACTCAATAGGAGAATGAAGAGTTTGTCTGGAATGCAGGTGGTAATATCACGGTCAGAACCTGGAACCCAGATGCTCTCCCTTGGGGGTCTTCTGTGGCCCACTAACCTGCTTTCCAGCTTCAGGGTCAGCAAAGTCCCAGTGCTGTAAGGAAAGGAAATGAGGTTCAAGTCCAAGAACTCACAGCCTCAAAGTAAATGTGGTCATTAAAAAAAGAGATAAAAAGAATCTAGGGGCGTGGCTCAGTGGTAGAGCACCTGCATAGAACCCCCCAGTGAGGGGCTAGGATGTGGCTCAGTGATAGAGCATCTGTCTAGAATTCCCCAGTGAGGGGCTGGGATGTGGCTCAGTGATAGAGCACCTGCCTAGAATCCCCAGTGAGGGGCTGGGGTGTGGCTCAGTGGTAGAGCACCTGCCTAGACTTCCCCAGTGAGGGCCTGGGGGCATGGTTCAGTGGTAGATCTTTTGCCTAACAAGCATGGAGACCACCACCACCACTAATAACACCAGTAACAAAACAGGACAGTAATGTCATCCTGCGGTCACAGGTGGGGATACAGAGGCTAGACAGGGCAAGGTCACAGGTCTAAAGCTGCTAAACAGCTCCTCTTGTGTGTTCTCTATGCTCCTGTTGGGCCTGGGTCCCAGGATCTCCCTTCCCAGGACTTTTTCTGAGGACCCTGAGGGGCTTCTTGAATGTCCTGGTCTTCCCTCTCCAGCCCCTCATTTCCTGCCCTGGAATAAGTGCCCAGCTAAGCTCAGTAGGTCCCTGCAGGGAGCCTTAGGGTGTAGGGGAAGGGAGTGTGTCAGGCTAGAGCCCCGCCTAGGAAGCAATCGGGAGGTTGGCCAGTCATATCTTCCTCTGATTTTTCAGACCTTGAGGAGTAACCACGGAATTCCATTCTCCTGACAGCAAAGACACTGAATCACTCTTGCCAGAGCCTGCAGCCCCCACAAGAATGCCGTAAGGCTTTGACCCGCCATTCTCAGATCAGCAACCACAGCCAGAACAGGGCTCCTCTCTCCCCTTCAGTCCCGCTTCATGAGCATGGCTGACTGGATCGTCCTTGCTCCAGCCCCTCTCTGAGCATCCCCTTGCTTGCTTTCTTTACAATGGGCACACTCCTCACTCTCCCTGCTGTGTCAAAGCCAAAATAGCTATGAAGAATGGGGAGCCTGGAGGCTTGGTTCTTATGGCCTTGTGGGAGTCCCAGGTCTGGGGTGGAGTCCCACAGAGACTGATGTCCAGCTCGTACCTGGTTGGGTGGGTGTGGAAGGCATGGTTAATTCTTGCTTTTTCTCCTGCCCCTCAAAGACTTGCCCACTGAAGATCCTTGCCCTTGGTTTAAACTGAAGCCATGCAGAAAGTTGAGGGGCAGGGTGACTAACAGGCTTGAGCTGTTGGGAAATGAAGAAGGCTGTGGTGGGGGCTAGGACTGCCACAAGACACGGGGACATCAGGAGAGTCTTTGTGTAGATAAGAGGAATAGGGGAATAGGCTGGAGGCTGCTAAGTGGTCCGGGGGGAGGAACCTCATCCTAAAATATTTGGATGGCAGAGAGACAAGGGTTGGTAGTGGGAAAGGATCGGCATCCCCGAGATTGAAGCTGAAACTGGGATGAGTTAATGTTTGGGGGGGCAGTCCACCTTTTCCTTCTTGTCCTTGAGGAACTTGGCTCTGCAGACGGGGGAGGGGTTTATAGCAGGAGGTGACGCCATGGGAGACTTGTCACTCAGGCACAGTCAGCACCATCTGCTTAGGCATCTGCCTACCAGAGGTGGTGTCTTCTAATTACCTGGGGGGGGGGGTCAAAAAGAGGCCTGGGAACCACTATATCCCACTCCCTCCCACCACAGAGGGCTAGTGTTATCCCACAGGGCCCTCAGAGCAAATGGACCACAGATCCACTCCTGGGGGTAGGGTGGGAGGGTGGAGAGGTAGGTGGAGGAGCCCGGCTACACATCAATTCAATGTCATTTTATTTTTGAGATAGGGTCTCATGTAGCTCAGGCTGGACTCAGACTCATTACTAGCGGAGGAAGAGCTCGACCTCTGACCTCTTATGGGTATGGGTCACTATACCCGTTTTTGTTTGGTGCTGGGATGGAAACAAGACTTCACGCATGCTAGGCAAGTGTCTACCAACTCTGCCGCCTGAGCTCCATTTCCATCCCTTTTTTCACTCTGATAGTCACTGTAAGTCAGGCTGCCTTTAAACGCTCAAGGGTCCTCCTGCCTGTTCCTTGGGTTGCCTGTCTTCAGAAAGTTTAATAAAAATGTTTATTTATTTGCTTGTTTATTTTGAGGGCAGTTGTGTGTGTGTTGCTCAGGCCAAATTGCACGTGTGGAGGTCAGAGGAGACAACAAACTGTTGATTCTTTCTGACCATGTAGATCCTGGGAAACAAAGTCAAATCGGCTGCCCCGGTAGCAGCTGCCTTTACCCACTGAGCCATCTGGCTAGCCCCTTCAAAAAGTTTTTTCAGAGTACCTGATCCAGCCTGAGATCCAGCCTTATGTTGACATTCTTGGAGAGGAACATTAAGAGAGTGCGGTATATAAATAACTAAAAATGCCACTCCAGTCTTAATTATAAGGGCTCGGGAATCGGCGACAGAAGGAACAGCGGTTTATCCGTGGTGGCAGGGTTGGCTCAGACTTCCTTTGGAAGGGGACACGGAAACTGAAGCCAACCAGACCCAGGGGCAGCCAGGCGGAGAGCCGCCCCCAGCTGCGCTCCCGGAAGAAGCAGTGGGCTCGGACCCTAATCCCACTCCGGGGACCCTTGGCCACTTCCGGACCCGTTGCCTCTCACCCTACCATCAGGCTCGCATTCCTGCCGCCCCCGCTCGTGCTGGGAGCAGGCAAGGCCCCCGCCCGTGGGAAGGGGGCCGTGTGCCGGGGAGGCGGGGCTGGGAGGGCGCACAGCTGGGTCACATCTGGTCGGAGTGCGGAGGAACCAAATGGAACAGAAGGTAGCCTTTCATCCCGCAAGGGAAGGGGCGGCCAGAGTGTCTGCTCGCCACAGGGCGCCTGAGGTTTTTGGAGACCAACCCTCCCCATATAGCAACATGATGCCAGGACAGGCCTGCTGGGGGGTGGTATGTAGAATTTGATTACAGGTACCTTCTTACTTGAACCTCAGGTCCACACTTAAGGTACAGGTGTCCGTAGGGGCAGCCCAGAACTAATCGCTCAAGGACACCCCGCAGGCCATCACTTTGGCTCTGTCAGCACGGTCCCCAGGGAAGGAAGCCTGCTCGGGGACAGGAAGTGCATAGCGAGAAGCTAAGGATGTCGCCCGAGGAGGAGCACGGGTCCTATCACCCAGGTCCCAGCGCCGGGGGTGGGTGTGTGTGTGGGGAGCGTCCCTCACGTGCAGCCGTGGCGGGCGTTGGTCAGCCTGGGTGTGGCCCAGAGTAGCTCAGGAGGGTGACAAGGTGCGGGCCGGACGTGCTCCTGCGTAAAGGGGGCTGGTGCCGTGGGTGCCCCAGCTGGGTCGTTCCCAGCTCGCCGACCCCGTCTATGTCCCACGTGGGAGCGAGCGAGGGCCCTAGAGACTACGCCCCCAGGATAGCAGCCAATAAGAGCGCGGGGGCGTGGCCGACAGGAGAGGTTTAAGAGCGCTTGGAAGTAGAGGCGCGCAGCTGGACCGGGAGCCTCGGGCAGCCGGACCAGCTGGCACTGGGAGGGCACAACGTGCGGCCGCCGGCCACTATGCTTCAGCGCTGCGGTCGGCGCCTGCTGCTGGCGCTGGCGGGAGCGCTGCTGGCTTGCCTCCTGGTGCTCACGGCCGACCCGCCGCCGACACCAGTACCAGCCGAGCGTGGACGCCGCGCGCTGCGCAGTCTGGCCGGCTCCGCTGGGGCGGCTCCGGGTTCCGGGTCTAGGGCGGCCGCGGAGCCCGGATCCCTCGCGCGCGAGGTGCATAGCCTCTCCGAATACTTTAGTCTACTCACTCGCGCGCGCAGAGACGCGGATCCACCGCCCGGGGTTGCTTCCCGCTCGGCCGACGGCCACCCGCGTCCCCCGGCCGAGGTCTTGTCTCCCCGCGACGTCTTCATCGCGGTCAAGACCACCAGAAAGTTTCACCGCGCGCGTCTCGACCTGTTGTTCGAGACCTGGATCTCGCGCCACAAGGAGATGGTGAGACCCCGCGCGGTCTGGGCAGGAGGATGGAGTAGGGATTACCCTCTGTCCATAGCCGCTCTGACTGCATTTGTAGCTTTGGGTCTATCTGGGAAGCGATGGCATTAATCTGACCCATCCATGTGCGGCTACTGGGGCCCACTTTGCCTTACAGCCCTGGAAGTTTCCTCCCGTGTTGCCAGGGTCACCCCAGCCACATGCTCTAGGTCTGGATGAGTAGCCTCCAGCTTGGGGTTGGCCTTGTGATGCTTCCCCTAAACCCTGGGGTGAATGGTCTTATTTGTTTCCAAACTTTTCCAAACAAATTGGCACAGCTCCATCCTGGATCCTCTCCACTCTGAACTGATCCCCTTCTTCCTGGTTAGGGGGTACTTCCCTTGAAAGGGAGGGAAGGGAGGGAAGGGAAGGAGAAGAGTAGCACCCCCGGACCCCAGATATACTGAAAGAAATAAGGTGCTGGTTCTCCAGGCTTGTGCCGAACCGTGTCTTTAGCAGCCGAGCTCCCCCCAGTTAGACATCAACTTCATACACATATTAAAAGACACACCCCACTTTGAAAATCTCCCTGGAGGCTACGGCAGGACCGTTGGGGCGGGGAGAGCAGAGTGCACTCTAAGTGTGTGTGTGTGGCGGGGGAAGCACTGGGTATTTGGTGTGAAGATGAAGGTTCATTTTCCTTCCTGCTCCAGCCCCAGGGAGCCAGGGCCATCAAACTTGGCTAGGCTCTGTTTTAGGACAGAAAGGAGGTTAAGAGGACAGGCTCCTATCTAGTCTTGGTCAGAGAGGGGCCCTGAGAACCCCACGGCAGCATCCTGAGAATGAGGCGTCCCTTTCCCAGGGGCTCAGCAGGCCTTCGGGAGGGGGCAGCGGGGGCCATGGGTTTTGTTTGGCTGCGTTGCCGTTAGGATTCCCAGCGCTAGGCTGCTCTCACGCCGGCCCCTTGGGCAAGGCAACAAAGCCCCTTTCTCCAACCGAGAAAGGCGTCGGCCTCTTGTGTACTGCTATGCACTCCATGGGAACCGTTGGCTGGCGTGCTGGCCACTCAGGTTGCCTGGCGATGAGGGGACCTCTGTCCTCCCCCCCAACCCTGAATGACAGCCCTCGTGGGGCACGATCTCTGAGCCAGGGCACCCCCACCCCCTGCATTTAACCTTCCTGCTGTGTGGTATTGGATAGCATCTATCCCCCTCTGGGCCAGCACTAGTTCTGAAAAACTCTCATTTTGGGATTCAGGCACTTTCTCTGGCAGAAAGGACCGAGAAAAAAGTCTCAGTTGGGCTATGCGATCTGGAAAAAACCCTAGGGTCTTTGACCCTCAGCCTCTTACTCCTTGAAAAGGGAAATGATTGTCTTTCCATTAAGGCATTCCATAAAGTGGACTATGTAACTTTGGAGGCTTGTGGTGATCCCTGAAGTCATTCAGAGTAGGGGTCCCCTCTACCCAGAAAAGACTGGATTGACCCCCATGGTCAGCTGATGTGCACATGGCAAACAAAATCTCCTTTTGGTGTGCTATGGACAAGGGTCAATGGAACCTGTAGCAAAGGGTGGCTCTTCTGTCTGGTCAGGGCAGCTGGAAGGTGAGAGGCTGCATTAGATTACATTGAGTATGAATGGGAAGAGGGCTTCTTGGAGGAGGAGGAGGAGGAGGAGGAGGAGGAGGAGGAGGAGGAGGAGGAGGAGGAAGAGGAGAAAGAGGAGGAAGAAGAGGAGAAAGAGGAGGTTGTTCCATCTGAACCAGAGTCCTATGGCCCAGGACGGGCAATCTTGGCACCAAGCACGATTGTGGGGTTGTACAAAAGAGCCGGCAACCTTTGGAGAAGTGGAGAAGCTGGTCAGTGGGGGACAGGCAGGGCCGCCTGGCCTCTGGCCTGCTTGCTCCTCCCCCACCACTAAGGAGTGCGCCAGGCTGCAGGCTGCCACCGCCACAGCCACAATGGCTGGGGCAGAACTTGGCATCCTGTGTTTCTTTGAATCTCAGCTCCAGGAACAATGCTGCTTCCTGTGTGTCTCTCCCCCACCCCCTTGCCTGCCCTCACCAGTTGGGCTGCCCTCACTGCCCTGATGGTCCTTCTTTTGGGAAGTTTTGGTGGGGGATGTTGGGAGATGTGAGTCCCTGAAAGGCATTATTTCTTCCTGAGTATGGTCACAGACTGGTGTCCTCTGGTCTCTTCACTGCATACCAAGGAGGAGATGGCACCCACCTCCTCGGGACACTAGGAGGAGTCCATTCCTAGAACTTGGCTCTGCACAGGCGGGCTGTGTTATACCCACTTTAGAGTGTTTCTGGGGGCTGAGTGATATCCACAGGTGCAGCCCCTGCCCCCTCCTCTCCTGATTTCCCTGTACTGGGGAGACAGTAGGGGGAGCACCCACAGCTCTGCCTCAAAGACAGAGCGGGCCTCCTGCAAACTGCCCCCCCTACACACAACTGAACAAAGGTGACTTTAATCTCCGTAGCCTTGGGCTGGGTTTTTAGGACACCAGCGAAGCGCGGGAGAACAGGCCTCTCTCTTGATCTCATTAAGAAAGCATTTTCCTTTTAATCCAGCAGCAGCGTCTGCACAGGCCAGCCCGCTGCACCTCCCACGGCATTCCTGGGCTGAGATGCTGGGGTGCAGGGGGGGTGGGTGCGAGTCTGTGCGTGTGGGCTGCCCTGGGTGTCTGCAGAGCCCTGGAGGGAGAGGTGCATGCTTGCAGATGATATAGGTCTCACCTTTTGCTCTCCTACCCGGGGCCTCACTGGAGTGAGCATCCAGGCATTTGGTCAGCCTGGGCAAAGAACTGGGGCCGCTCAGGGCATGGTGTGCCACCCTTTCAGGCCTGGGGTGGTTAGTTCCTTGGGTAACTGAGGTAAATGCTGACCTCCAGGCTTGCACACACCCGGGTTTCCTTGGGACCCTTTTGTGCACAAAAGGAAAGGGAGGATTGGTGGTTTGGGAGGGGGGTTGGACTGCTGCCTCTGCTGAGCATCCCCCAGCCGCCCCGGGGTTGCACTCTGCCATGCCAGGGTGCGGCAGGCGGCACGCGCTGGGCGGGCCGGCGGAGGAAGGAACATTCCTTCCCGTGTGCTGACGGGCCCAGGCGGGCGCCGGCAGCTCCTGGCCCCGCCCCGGCGCCCCCCCCCCTCTTCCGCAAAGTAATCCTGGCAGGGGGTGGCCCTGTGCCGCGCCAGGTGGAGTCTTGGCTGTGGTCCTTGGGCAAGGTCTTCAGTGAGCTGGGAAGAGTTTTTTCCTCTTCTAAGTTGGGCTGAGTGCTTGGATGCCCTACTGCGGGCCTGGGAACAGGAGTTCTTTTCTGCCACTACCACAGTGGCCACCAGTGACTTCTCAGAACCTGGCTGGCTGCTGTGGCTGGGGGAACCTGCCCTATAGGGCGCAGCAGGAGGTGCAGGCCAAAGTACTGCATGGCCAATGGTCTTACCCATATCCCGTGTATGGGACCTCTAGCCCAGCCGGCCCAGTTAACTAGGCCAGCTGTATGGAAATGACAGCCGGGCCACTCCTGCTTAACTCGGCAGAGTTAAGGCTGGTCCAGCCCAGGACAAAGCTGGCGGACAATGGCTGGTGATTCACCCTCCCTCCAGGGCCCTTTGTCTGCCAGGGCTTGGCAGCAGCCCAGCAGAGGCCTTTGTCCCCGACCCTACTGAGTGAAGCTCAGCTTCCCAAAGCCGACCTCCTCCTCCTATCCCTCCCCCCCCCCCCCCCACACACACACACAGCTCGGAAAGCCTGCAGGCTGGGCGGGCAGGCAGGTTGTGTCAATAAGGGTGTGTGCCCCGCCAGGTGCACAAGTTGGCGGGAGGATTAGCTGCAGCCCGTTTACCTGGCGGGTGGGTGGGACACCCCACCTGGCTCGTGCCTCCCTGCTGCCTTTGGCGACCTTGGGCCCAGCTGCCACTCACCCTGGACACTTGAACACATTCTATGTGCAGTGAAGAATTCGGGCTGTTGTGCAGGGTGGAGGGGGTGGGAGTATAAGACCTACAGCTGAGGGCACTCCAGGATGTCTTGACTGTGGCTCTGGTGGGGGACTTGGAGCTGCAAACTCAAGTCCTGTCTCTTTTTGCAGACATTCATCTTCACAGATGGGGAGGACGAAGCTCTGAGCAAGCTCACAGGTGTGTCCCAGACTTGGGGCGAGGAAAAGGTGGACCTGATTCTAGTCAACTTCTTCCCCTGAGGCACCCTGGGGTTCAGAGGTCACCTTCAGAGGTCACCAGTCACTGGGCTCAGGAGCCAGTTTACTCTGCTGGTTTGCTTCCTGCCCTGCTCCGCCACTCCTAGGGCCCCCAATTCTTATGCAGAGGAGCCCCTTTCAATCCTCTGGGGACCTTTTGAGTCCTGCAGGCAGCAACAGGTGGCCAGTACTGGGCGGGGGGGGGGGGGGGGGGGGGGAAGCTGGTTGAATGAATGGGCAGGGGCGGCTACCCTGGGAAGGGGGTGGACTGGGGGTAAAGTCTGAGGCAGTTGGAAAAGAGCCTACTGCTGTGCTCCCCGGGCCTGCTGACAACCCTCCCTGTCCACAGGCAACGTGGTCCTCACCAACTGCTCTGCCGCGCATAGCCGCCAGGCTCTGTCCTGCAAGATGGCCGTTGAGTACGACCATTTCATCGAGTCAGGGAAGAAGTGAGTTCTTCCCTTCCCCACCGGGTCCCATCCATACCCCTTCCCTGGCAGCCTGGCAGTCCAGTCCTCTGACACCATCCTGCCTTGTGTTCAGGTGGTTCTGCCATGTGGATGATGACAACTACGTGAACCTCAGGGCGCTGCTACGGCTGCTGGCCAGCTATCCCCACACTCAGGATGTGTACCTTGGCAAACCCAGTTTGGACCGGCCCATCCAGGCCACAGAGCGGGTCAGCGAGCACAAGGTGGTGAGTGTCTCCCGACATCATCCCTGCTGTTAGGGGAAGGGGGTTGAGCCTTCTTTGCCACCTGGTGGGATCCAGGAGTCTCCTGACAGCCATCTCGCTTCCCCCAGCGACCTGTCCACTTTTGGTTCGCCACCGGAGGAGCTGGCTTTTGTATCAGCCGAGGGCTAGCCCTAAAGATGGCCCCATGGGCCAGGTGAGTGCCCTCTGCACGTGTAAGACCATCCCACACAGCAGGGTGTTCATTTGTGGTCCTGGGCGCCCCACTGCAGGGCCTGGCTTGGTGGGCCATCCTCTCCCAGCTGCCCACTCCTCCACTAGGTATCCAAATGCAGCTGTGTTTACAGCCACTCCCCCACCTCTGCCCTGCCTAGAGCACCCTTGGATGAAACCCTTTGGCAGGGAAGAATTATGGTTCATAGAGGGAGGGAGCCCCGTTTGGCAAGGTCTTGTCTACCCTCTCCCCAGCTGCTGGCTTCAGCCTCCTCTTACTGTCCCCTGGGCCCTTCCCTCTTGCAGTGGGGGACACTTCATGAGCACAGCTGAGCGCATCCGGCTCCCCGACGACTGCACCATTGGCTATATTGTGGAAGCGCTGCTGGGAGTGCCCCTCATCCGGAGCGGTCTCTTCCACTCCCACCTGGAGAATCTGCAGCAAGTGCCCACAACCGAGCTCCACGAGCAGGTGGGCATGCCTCCCGAAGGCCTGGATGGCCAAGGAGTGAACTCAACAGGGCCAGAAGGGACAGTCTTCCTTCCTTCCTTGTTTGTTTTTGTTTGAGATTGGGGGTTTCACTACGTAGCCAAAACTGGCCTTGAACCAGTGATCTCTTGCTTCAGCCTCCCGTATGCTAAGATTCAGTTGTGTGCTACCATATCTGGCTCAGTGTCATTTAGGGACACACACACACACACACACACACACACACACACACAATATACATATATGTATATATAATGTACATATATATGTGTGTGTGTGTGTGTGTGTGTGTGTGTATGGGTCTCCTGTATTCCAGGCTAGCCTTGAAGTTGACTCGTAGTTGAGGATGACCTTGACCTTCAATTCCTGATTCTCTTGCCTCCACCTCCCTGGGCTAGGAGTACAGGTGTTGGGGAAAGAACCAGGGCTTTGGTACGCTAGACAAGAACTTTCCCCATTACATCTGTAGAACAGGGTCACTGTTTTAACAGGAGTCACATCTGTCCTGAGCTGCTGGCTCAGAGCTGGGGCTGTCGCTCAATGGTAGAGCTCTTACCTGCATGTATGAGCCACCCGAGTTTAATCTTCAATTCCTCAAAAAATAGTGAAGTAGACTCCCCCCTGTGTTTTTTTTTTTTTTTTTTTTTTTTTTTTTTTTTTTTTTTGAGACAAGGTTTCTCTGTAGCGTTGGAGCCTGTCCTGGAACTTGCTTTGTGGACCAGGCTGGCCTTGAACTCACAGAGCTCCATCCGCCTGTGATATAGACTCTTTTAAATTGCTGATTCTGCTCTTTGAGGGGACACACCTGCTCTGTCTTGTTCATAGTTGAAGGTCCTCCCCCTGGACTTCATCCCCAGGTGGGCAGAGGCAGGTGTCCTTGGCCCAAGGATGAGTTTGTCGAGGGAACAGCTAGCCAGGCAGACTGCCACCCATCCAGCATCTCTCCCTTGCTCCCAATGCAGGTAACCCTGAGCTATGGCATGTTTGAAAACAAGCGGAACGCAGTGCACATCAAGGGACCCTTCTCGGTGGAGGCTGACCCATCCAGGTAAGGGCTTGCGGAGGGTCACTAAATACCCCCAGGAACCTCACTGGTGCTGTTGGGACTCCCAGAGGGTGCATGGTACCCCTACCCCACACAGACCAGTCTTCTGCTCTCTCCCTACAGGTTCCGCTCTGTCCACTGCCACCTGTACCCGGATACACCCTGGTGTCCCCGCACCGCCATTTTCTAACAGCTGTGGCTGAGACCCTGTCCCTGGGCGCCCCTGGTATCCAAAGGGCCCAGGGACCCCTGTTTGTGTCCTGACCTTGGTGTACGAGGCTCTTCAGGGCTGTGTGTATGTGTGTGTGTGTGTGTCTATATTTGTGTGTTTCTGTGGTGTGCCCACTCATGTTGCAGACTGCTGGGCAGTCGTGTTCTTCAGGGAGTGGCCTGTCTGTCCCTAACTATCTTTTCTACATTCTGAGACCCACTCCAAGGGCAGTTCTGTGGGATCTGTGTTTGGATCTCTGCAGTGTGGGGAGAGGCCTCAGGGCTCCCCTCAGGGGTACATGGGTGCTGTCTTATAGCACTGTCTCTTAAGTTGGGGTGCCAGCACCTACCTGAAACCTTCCCTGTCAGCTGAGCCATGCCCAGTGCTAGGGAAAATGGTTTAGGTAGTAAAAGGCCTGGGGCCCTCCTTCTAGCTTGGGCACTGCCAGTGACCGTTCAGGTGACCCAGTGCTTCTCTTCCAGCCCTCCAGGGTGGGGTGAAGTCTTCAGCCCCACCCCTTGAGGTCCTATCTTTGTCTCCCACACTAGGGAGTTCAGAGCTATGAATTTTATCTCCTCTCCAAAGTAGAGAGAAAGTCACCCATAGTGGGTGTGCCTGTAAATATTGTGACAGTATTTTTTTACTGTGCTGTTTCTTGAGATGGGAAGGGTGGGTGTGAAGGGAGGGGGGTTGTTTTCTGGGTGGGCTGGAGAGGGTCTTATTTTATCTTTTCTGTGGATCAGAAAAAAGCAGAAGCCAAACAGGCTTGGTCTTTGGAAAGCTGGACCATGAATGCCTTAGTACTGTATTTATGCTTTCCAGTATCTGGAATCCTGCTCTCCCCCACCATCCTCCCCAGCACCCCAAGGCTCACCTCACCCCACCCCATGGGCTGCGTTCTATGTTCTTTTTGCAAAGACCTTAGCTAGGCAAGCTAATGATGATAAGGGAAAAGCTCTCAGGGAATTGATGTGTTGTTGCCATGGTGACGTCCTTCCGCTGAATAAAGGTGCTCTTTGCAGCAACCCCAGGGGCCTCAGTCTTGCTTGGGAGTTGGGTCTGAGCCACCCGTCCATCAAGGTCACTCCAGGGGACACTCAGATGAGGGCAGGGGAAGCTGGCTCATGCCATGGAGAAGGTGGTTGATAGGCATCCTACAAGCCGACTATTGGGGAGGGAAGCTTGGCGTTAAAAATGGGTGAGAGTGAACAGCTCCATGCAGGTTTGTCACTGGTGAGTGGCCACCATGATGGGAGGAGGGGGGCTGGGCAGAGCTGATGGAGGTAGCTGCTTGTTCAGGTCTGTTAAGGTCGTGGTGCCTTTGTTAATACTGCTGGTGACAGCTAGGAGTGCAGCTCTTCCTGCAGGAGGGACAGTGGCTATGGTGGGCTAGCCAGAGACCCATTTTGCAGACAGGAAAACTATGACTCAAAGCAGGTTAATTCAGTGTGCCCTAGGTCAGGCAGCCAGGCTGACAGTCCCTAGATCTCGGTGACATATTAACCTTGCCAACACTGCCTCGCATCTGTCAAGTTTGGAGGTATCCTCTGGGGATGGGCGCAAGCGGAGCTGGTGAGGACGCCTATTTTTCTGAGGTTCTCCAGGGCGCTTCCTCAAATCCAGCCACGAAGGGTGGGGAGGGAGGGTGGCTGAGCACGGGGATTCCCCACCCTACCCCCTTCCTGTGGTCTTGCTTCCTCTTTACAGTGTAGCTCCTTGAGGCTGGCAGACTGGTGTCTGCCACCTACTGCCCCTTTGCAGGTGCCTGCCTGCTCTGACCTGGATCCAGGCTCACCTGGAACTCTGTCCTCACTACTGGGCACCTCTGTGTCCTCTGCCTCCTTCCCTACCCCACCCCTGATTAGAGATCTGCCCCTTCCCACTCCACCAGAAACTTAGCCCAATGGCTCAGCACCCGCAAGCGAGGCGGGGCATGACCATGCTCGTAACCGCTCTTGCCTTGCGGGGCACCTGGCCAGATCCTGACCCCCACCTTGGCCCTGCAGTTTGACTTTTTAAGGCCTGCAGATTTTGGAGTAGGGGATGGGAAGAGAGGACCCTCAGCCGTGGCCATTGTCTTCAGCATGTCGTGCCTGGTGGTGGTGGCTCAGGGCCCCACTTATGGATGAGGAAGCTGACATTTGCTAGGGGGTGGAAAGGTCATGGTGGAACAGTCTGTGGGCCTCCTTCCTGCCCGGATGAGTCAGAGGCCTGTTGCCCTCTACCCTGGTCCTCACAGAGTCTCCTGCAGTTGGCATCAGCCTCCACACAGAGCTGGAAGGCACAACGGCTACACTGGCCTGGTGGGCATGGAGTGGGGGCCTCAGCCAGGGTTGGGTTCCCACTGGAATTGAAATGGAGTCAAAGGTTTTCATCATAGTGGATCCTGATCCTGGAGGGACATGGTAGCAGCAAGGAGCATGGTGGGAACCCCGTGAAGTGGCAGAGGTCTCTTACCCTAGTATTAGAGGCTGAGGCAGGAGGATCATGAGATCAGGGCTAGCTTGGGCTACAAAGTGAGGTATCTGAGAAACCGGAGCCAAGTAGGAAGGAGCCCAGGAAGGGCATAGCCAGTAGCCTCAACTACTTCTCCCATGTAGCTGACCAGGTCAGCTTTTTCCTCAGAAGGGAAGCAAGCCAACCTATTTATTTATTTGTTTGTTTGTTTAATTCTGGGTGGGGGTTTTGAGACAGGGTTTTTCTATGTAGCCCTGGCTATCCTGAAACTCTCTTGTAGACCAGGCTGGCCTCGAACTCAGAGCTACAGCTGGGGTTTAAAGGCATGCCCTACCAACTGGCTGCAAGTTTATTTCTAAGGCCCACTTCCATGCAGGTCTGAGCAAGAGTCCTCCTCTTAGGTCAGCTACTCAGGCAGGGAAGGAACTCATTTTTCTCCTCCAGGTGAGTGAGCAACCCAGGCTGAGAGCACCAGGAGGGGCCCAGTCAGGGGTCCTGTCCCAAACCACCCTTCATGGAGAGCTTCCAAAAGTAAAACTGCAAGCCAAGTATCCCAGTGGCTCATGACTGCACTCTCTGCACTTGGGAGACAGAGGCAGGACTGCGAGGGTCCAAGACCAGCCTAGGCTACCTGCAGAACGATGTGCCCCCCCAATAAAAGTCGAACTGCAATTGCAAGTTATAGGGTGTCAGGGAGGGTGCTGAATGCAGCCTCAGTCCCCAGCTTCCTCTCTCATGCTGAGTGGTAGGAGCAGTGGCAAGGACTAGCTGAGCTGGGTCTGGGGGAGGGCTGCAGGGTGGGGTTGATGTTTTCAACTTCCCTCTCTGAACTTCCCTCCCCACTGGGGTCAGCAGGGCTGACTTCCTGGAAGAGGTGCCTCACTGCTGGAGCCGGAAGGCCAAAACCACAGAGTATGAGCAAAAGTCAGTTAACATGAGTGTGTGCGTGTGTGTGTGTGTGTGTGTGTGTGTGTGTGTGTGTGTGAGCGTGGCACAGCCCAGACAAAGCCACCCCAGAGTGGGGTTTGTGTGGAGATGGTCAGGAGCAGTCTGAGAAGAGCAATGAGCAATGGACCCGAGACTTCCACACTCTCCCTGCCAGAAATGGCCCTGACCTCTGATGTCAGAATCAAGAGTCCACTGTGTTTCCTCAGCCTGCTCTCCCTGACTTCTGGGCCTGAAGTCTCGGGAGGAAGCAGGAGGCTCAGAGCAGACAGCAGTTCAAAAGACTTATCGGCCAGGCCTGTGGCACACTCTCCTATTCTCCTATGCCCACCTGACCCAAGTTCTACTTTTTTGACCCCCCCCCCAAAAAAACTCACTTTTTTCCTTTTGATGATTGGCATAATAATAATAATAATAATAATAATAATAATAATAATAATGGGGCTGGAGAGATGGTTTGGCGGTTAAGAGCACTGGCTGCTCTTGCGGAGGACCCAGGTTTGAGTCCCAGCACTCACATGGCTGCTCACACCGGCTGTAACTCCAGTCTTAAGGGATGTAACACCCTCTTCTGACCTCTGCAGGCACCGGGTATGCATGTGGTGCAAAGGCATGCATACAGGCAAAGACTACCTACAGATATAGGTTCTTCCACTTCGTAGGACCCAGGGACTAAACTTAGCAAATGCCGTAGCCAGCTGAGTCATCTCATTGGTCTTTTGATGCTTTTTTTATTGCTGTATTTTCATTGTTTACAGTAATTAATTTCATAAAAATAGCCCCATTCATCACATGCTCTGACCATACCCACCCCTTCTACTGTCTCCTCCTCCTCTTGGATCATCATTCTGCTTTGCACAGATAGTCCCACTTCTACTATCATCACACACACACACATATACAAAGTTGTGCACACACGCACACCAGGGCTGGCAATGCGGCTCAGTTGGTCGAATGCTTGCCAAGCACAAAGAAAAGTCATGGGTTCAATCCCCAGCACCACATGACCATCCTTGGCTACATAGAATTCAAGACCAGCCTGGACTTTGTCAAACAGAGTTTGGAGAGTTGGCTCGGTGATTAAGAGCACTGGTTGCTCTTTCAGAGGACCCAGGCTCAAATCCCAGCATTCGAATGGTGGGATATCTGACCTGACGCCCTCTTTGGGCCTCTGTGGGTACTGCATGCATGCAATACACCCATACACATAACATAAAAATATTAAAATAAGTAAAACAAGAGAGGGAGAAAATATATAAAATATCACCAACCCTGCTTGCTGCCCGATTACATAGACACTTGTCTGGAAGGGATCCCAAGACTAAGAGGCACTCTATATTGGACCCTGGAGGTTGCCTAGATGTCATGGAGTTTAAGGGACTCAGTTGCAATGGTTCGTTCAGATCCAGTGCCTCTGCCACTACCCACCATGGTCCTTGGGCGCCTCCTGGTGGCCACAGTTGATTATTTTCCCCGGTCTGAGTCGCTGCTTTCTAGAAACCCTCCCCTGAATCTAGGGGTGAATAAAAAGAAATGCAGGCCTTTGTTTTGGCCTCAAAGTTCCACGTGATACTAAATATAGTCCCCAACTTCTGATTTATTCCTTTTTTCCCCCTTTGTAGTACTGAGAATTGAACCTTGGGTCAACAATATACCAAGTGAATGATCAAACCACCGAGCACATTCCTAGACTTCTAATGTCAGATTGATGCGGTATGAGTCAGGTGCAAGGCGCATGGGTTGTTCATGTGCTGGCTTTTGAGTGTGGCTCAAGCAGCAGGTGCTAGCAGAGTCACTGCTTGCTCTCCTCCCCAACAGAAACATGAACCCCACTGGAACCTCTGGGCATTTTGGATACAGACTATTGGGGACTTCTGAGAAATACACCTATCATGACTCCTGAGGGGGAACCAGTGCCTTCATGGGCGTTTGCTTTCCATGAACCTTGTCCCAGCTTTTCACATATAACCCCCTCCCTGGGGGATTCTAGGCAGGGGCTCTACCACTGAGCTGCACCCCAGCCCCTCACTGGGGGATTCTAGGCAGGTGCTCTACCACTGAGCCACACCCAAGCCCCTCTCTGGGGATTTAGGCAGGGGCTCTACCACTGAGTCACACCCCAGCCCGTCTCTGGGGATTCTAGGCAGGGGCTCTACCACTGAGTCACACCCCCAGCTTCTCAATGGAGCCCTACTCCAGTTCGGAGCTGATTGATCTCCTGCTTCTATCTTTCCTCGATCCCTTCCTGATTTAGCAACTATAGCAATTCAACTGAAATGAAGGTTAGATGGTGCCACTCTCTATGGCTCCCTCCCAGCCAGTAAGTTCCTGTCTCTACCCATGAAATCTTGGCCCTACTGAATATGGTTGGTTCCCCACAGACTTCACTCAGGAGCCCTGTGTCCCTAGCCTGAGCTGCAGGCAGTCACCCTGTGTACAGCCTATGGCTCTGGATCCTCAAAGGCAGTTCAGGAAAGTCAGACCCGTTTTTTCTTAAAATTGTTTATTTTAAAACATGAAACCCAAGCTGAATAGAGATCACAGAAATTACATGGACAAGAACTTTAGTTATTTGCCAAGAAAAATAAAGTTCCCCAAAGAAATAAAAATTGAACCCCAAACC